AACTTTTCCTATGCCTCCCTCTATTAAATAGACTGTCTATACACTTGGCATCAGATGGGAAAGTGCATCCTCTCTCCTTGTGAAGCTTCAGGGCCAGATCCTCAGGTTTCCTCTAACCAGCAGCTGACCAGCAATATCAGCTATAAATCTGTCCCCCTCAGCTACTGTGGTTTAACCAAAAAAATCCTCTCTTCCTCACACTGTAAAGACATAGGAAAGGCAGACAGCATCCCTCTGCACGAGAAGGCACAAATTCTACATATTAAGTACCAATGCAAAAAACTGCCTTAGCATTTAGTGGCAGGAGCTCTGGGCCGCTGGCACCATGGGAATAGTAGCATGCATTGATGGTAAGTTTTTATTACAATTTGTGTGCACTTATCTGCACCACACTGCTTTCTAAGGTTCGCACATCTGTGAATGTGTAAAAGATGATATATTGTTTTTTTTAAGGCTCATTCTTCTCTGCATCTGTAGAAATGGACTACTCGCTTAAAAATATAAAAAAAAAAACCACATCTTCCAAGATGGGGCAAACAGGTGCTTCAGCCTCAAACACAGAATAGAAATTTTGACACCAGTGTATTAAAGAAGGAACTTTATAGGTTGATAATTATATGTCACAATACAGAAGGAGTCCTTTCTTCCAGTAACTGCCATTTGCTTATTTTTAAAGAAGATAATAAAACTAACATAATAAAACAAAATGCTTAAAAATTAAACCAGTCATTTTTTTCAATCAAATGTATAGAATGGTAAAGGCAAAATCATTTAAATCATTTCCTTAGTAATACAAGTAATATTTAAATAGATTTAATAGTGCTGCTCCAAACCAATGAATTATGAGTTTAAAACCTATTAAAATGTAATGTTTTTTTCCTGAGCTGAGGGGAGAGAGATTTAAATCCACTGAATTTTAATATTTCAGCTTGAGCTGCAGGAGGTAGAGAAAGTCCAAATGAACTATTCCATCAGCACCATTCAAGCATGAACATTTTAATCAGTTTTACTTCCTTGGAGTTCTCTAACACAGTTTACGCTGTCATTCTGAAAGCACTTAACACAGAGAGTGTGGAAAAACCACCAAGGCTTGTTATTGCCTTCACAATTGATGGCAAATAATTTTGCAATTTCCTATCATTAAAATGTCACTGCTAAAAAATGAGGTTCAGCATTTCTTGTGCTAAACTGCATTTTCTTTGAACACCATCACATACCTGTTCTTAAGTTTTTGGTACATTTATCTCTATGTGATAAACAGGCACACAAGCAGTAGCCTTCATTTCTGTCTTCCTACCTAAATGTAGTTGAAAACTGATTATTTTAAATGGGGGAAAAACCACTACCAACGAAAAACAACAGATAGATAAAATTCTTGTAAAGTTTTAAGTTAATTCCCTGGTTCCCTTATTAAAATGTAACCACATTAACACAGCATGTTTCAATTGCTCCGATTATATAGTATAACGGAATAAAAAAAAAATTTAAGAGAGTTAGACAACTCAATTTAATAATACAGGAAATGAAAACATCATTCCTAATTAGATCATATTACTGATTTAAGGCTACAATTTGCGTGTTCTTCCAACAGTGTGATCTTGCAGTTTCTAATTTAAAAACACTGTGGCTCTGACACATGACAAGATCAACTGGATACATAATATTCGTCATCCCCCTCAAGCCAACCTGGAAAGGAGCACCCAGAATCTGCACTACAAATTATGTAGAGCAAGAATCCTGTACAACGCAGTCTAGGGCAAATATCGGATGCGAAGTCTGAATGCCTGCACGTTTACAATCCTCTTGCAGTATATGCTTATAGTTTTGCTTTAGTTTTTCTCCCTGTATCTCTCAAGAAGATGATAGATGATATTTAACTTGTTTCAGTCTGTCAACAGTTTTAAACTGAACATGACCTGTGAAAGAAGTCATTATAACTGTGTTTCATTCCATTAAACACAACTAGTTTGTAGTCAAGAGAACAAGCAGTCTCTCCAGGTTCCAGGCTCACTTCAGTATTTTGCATTTAAACTGCATGGATCAGTGATTTGGTTCATTTACCAATGAAGATAGAATAATACTGCAAAGTTAAAAAGGTGCTTCATCAGATTTCATTAAATCAGAGAACACTGATATAAAAATATATATGTGAGACATAGAGACATGATTTGTGCACATTCTATTTTTTCTTGTGCCATATTCTCCTCTGATAAAACCCATTTTAAATTCAAAGTGAGGACTCCTCCATTCGAACCAAAGTTTAGCACGACTGAGGCAAACTGAACAGGCCTCCCCAAAACCACAGAGAAATTTAAGCTACAGTTGTTCTAAAAACCTCAAACTACAGTATTGCTTCTGTTTTGTTCTGATATAGAGCTCAATTATTAAAAGACATATTTTTAAAAAACTGTAAAGAGCAAATCAATTAAAGGAAGCTTTTAAAATATCACAGTGTTACAAGAACACAAACTGTCAGACTTAGCAAATTGCAAAATAATGCAAGACAATGAATATGATTAGAGATATAAAAAAGCAGTAATTTCTAATTATCTTCTTTATTTTCTTTATTGCTACTCATTTTGCAAAGTATGACAAGCTTTTTCCAGGTCCATGCCACGTTTTCTGTCTCTAAATTCTTTCTTCAAGTGCAGACATAAAACTATTGTGGGTATCCATGCAACTAGAACTTAAGCTCTTTTGATAACTTGCTATCCAATTTATTCAGTTTTTCCAATAAATCTCTTAAAGATTGAATTAGATTACCTCTCTTACATAATAATTTCAACTTGTTGAAAATGATTTTTTCAGTCAGTATTGCTCTTGTTTGTCCAAAACTGAAGAGGGAGACCTGTACAGCATTTCCCAAGCCAGTACGGAACAGGAGAGCAAAAACAGGAAGCAAAGCAAGTTAAAATCACTCTTGTGAGGGAGGTGAGAGCTATCCTTTTTAAATGTACACGCACAAAAAATCAGATATTATGAAAGTCTGAATCAACAAAATCTCAATTGACTTGAAAAGATAAATTCAGAGAGCAACAGATAAAACAGAAAATTTACTTGTTAGGTGGGGGAGGACCAACCAAAGGATATGCCAGTCTCCCAGACAAGTGTCTAGTCTGTTTTTATTTATTCAGTGTAGTTTAGTGGTTCATGAAAGCACAATAAACTTTAAATAACAAGCACAATATGCAGTGTCTGTAACATCACACGTTTCACATCAATAAGGTGTGTGTTTCTTTACTAGAAAGCAAATGACTTTTTGCAGTCCCTCTAACATAAGTAATGGTGAACGACAAAAATGTACACAAACATACTGTAAAACTTTAAATAACAAGCACAATATGCAGTGTCTGTAACATCACACGTTTCACATCAATAAGGTGTGTGTTTCTTTACTAGAAAGCAAATGACTTTTTGCAGTCCCTCTAACATAAGTAATGGTGAACGACAAAAATGTACACAAACATACTGTAAAGTATTTGTACTCATGCCTGTGCACACACACACGCACACTTATGTATATGGTACGTGCATATATACACAAACACTACATACACACATGCAGCACATATACAGAAAAACTTCTTTACCAAAGAAGCCAACCTTTAGCAACCTACTTTATGCAAAGAATTTTAATAGCAGGCAATATTTTTGGTTAGGTAATGAAAACTAATTGGGAAATTATTCATCTCCCACTCTCCCCACTGGAGCGTAAAAGACATACAACAAATGTTATTCAGGATTCTACATGACTCGCTCTGATTCACCCCCTTCTTTCTAACGGGCACTTCAGAGGAAATAAAGGTTACTCTTTTCCATTTATATCTTCTAATTGACTACCAGTGTTTTCTTGTGGTCAGAGGGATACAAAATAGAGTTAGAAAGAGTCTATTAAAAACAAGCTGCAATCAGAGTATGGCTCTACGCTACCGTTAGCGATGATCAGAGAGTCCTGATTTCCTTGTTAAAAGACAGAGGCATAATTGAAGCAATATCTTCACTTCAGATTGATTATTCAGCGACCCTTATCCACATCTTCAGTCAGCAATTTGAATTTTAATGAAAGTAAATGGAATAATTAGCATTTCAAAGTGTGTTTGATATACTGAATATTAAAAAAAAAAAAGGAAAAGTCTTTTATGTATAATCTATACACAAAAGAAAAAGCATTTGGGAGGGGGAAGAACATGCAAAGTACAGTTGCAGCATCTTCATTAGAATAACTTAAACTAACTGTACCAGCTGCACAATTATACATGTGAATAATGTGCTATTAAGCTATGACTTCTCACCTTTATTTTATGTAGTGTGAACAGCCAAGGCTTCCTTGTTTTTCCTTTCCTCTCCAGTCATAAAATGTAAACAGTAGGGCTGCCCACACTCATAAACCTGGCAGGACTTCCACACTGAGCCAACATGACTGCTAGCAAAGCTTTCACAAGAGGGGCTTAATACACCTGTATTTTTAGATGACTGGGAGCAGGGCACCTATGATCATGCTGCTGAAGGGTAGTTTTACCATTTTTTTAAAGCAACTAAAGATGTTTTTTTTTTAATTGTAACAAGAAAAAACATTGTAGCCTTCTGCAGTCCCTAGCCACCACACAGAAAACCTCACAGGCAACAGCGAGGGGAAAAAACCCTCATTATCGTGCAGCATCGTTTGAAGGCTACTTGTTAAAGAGGCTGCAGAAGCAGGCTGGCACACAGTATGCAAAGGATGCAATGTCACTTAAAGAGCACAACAAAAACAACAACAAAACAGATATCCGCTCAGCCTGGGGGAACGGACACAGCACAGACATGACCTTGTTCGTCTTCTCAGCACAGTGCAAGCAAAACTTTCCAGGCAGTAGCCAGTGCTCATGAAGATCAAGCTACTGAACTTCACCACTGCCACCAGATTTTGCCCACCAGATGGAAATGAGTTCACAAAGGAATGAAAGGAAAAGAAAGCTAATTACAAACACTACTATAGCTAAAACAGAAAGACCACATACCCCAATGATTGCGTTCAGTTCTGCCATGGTCACTTGCTTGGCACGTTCCACAGCCTGCACCACTTGTTGCTGGTGCTATAAATGAAGATCAGAAACAGAATAAAATTATTTGTTTTCTAAATTATTAAGCACAGATTTTTTTCCCCTTCTTTATTTTATTTTTTGCTTTTCAATCACATGTAGAGCTTGAAATAACTGTTCTCTAACAGACAGTCAAATTCTGTGCTGATATGCAAGGGTAGCAGGTAAGGGACAGATTTTATTTATGCCATTATTTGCCTGGAATTTCACCCTGTTCCCAAAATGAGCTATTTTACAACCTGGCTGTAAGGGAGAACTGCCTTCCTTTTGTTCATCAGCACAGTGTGTGCTTGTATTTATATGTCATCTTAAAATGCAAGCTACTCTTCTTACAGTTACAGAAACTTTTTGAGGAAAAAAAAAGGCATACTGAAAAAGAAAGATATGTATTTTCAATAGCCACATGGTGCCCACATTACTGAAACATATGTAGATTCTCCCTGATACATTTCAAAGCAGCTCAATCATAGGAAGGAAATTTAAAATTCCATCTACAATTCTGTCAAACATGTGAAAGAGAATTAATTATTTCAATCCCTAACATGTAAATTTTAAGAGCTTAAAAAAGTCCATCAAAAACACATGGTCTAATCAACAACACAGTTTACAAGCTTCAATGGTTATATTATCTCAGTTTGAGTGATACTGTATTCCTGTACTCAATTCAAAATTGCCGCACGCTGAAAACCGATTGGTATTTAGTTGAAAACATCAACTACAAATCAAGTAAATTCCTAACCTTGCAACCACATCTGTGCTTGAGGATCTGTGCCTGTTTGGAGCTCCACTGGTGGGAAGTTCATCTGTACATATAGCCTTGACGAATTTGGATTACAGATGACAAGTTGGTGCAAAAGGCCAAGGGGGGTGTCAGGGAGAACTGCAGTAGCTTGTACAATCTATATTAGGAGTGAATCATCTCTGTCTGTCGCCACAGCCTGAACAAAGCAAAGCATGAGCTTTTGCCTATAGGAAGAGGTGCTGAAACTACATTGGGGCCTTCTTGCTCCAGCGGAAAGGGAAATGGTGAAATGCTGGCTATGTATCGCATTTGGAAACTCGTCCACATTTTTTTCAGTGCAGAGTTAAGGAAAGGGTTGAGAGCTCTTCTTAAGGCCTCCTAAATATGAAGTCCAGTTTTCTGGGCCCATGTTTGCTGGTTCAAATGGGGCAGATGGACCCAGCACCCCTGGGGACAGCCTTCAGCTCACAGGACACAGCCACCCCCCGCTTTGCCCTCCTCAGAGGCAGCACTGTGTGCACAGGCTCTGCCTCTACTGCTCGATGCCACAAGTTAAAAGACTCACATTTAAACAGCAAATAAACAAAATTACTGTTTTATTACACAAATATGTCTCCGGATAAAAGAAAACTTCCCCTTTCTCCTATTCACAGCTAGCTGATGACCAGCTCATATTATCATACAATAACTAATGGCATAATCTATGCTAACTGTGCAGCTCAAAGTTATGCTTTCAGTTTCTGACAAGCAAACACGTCCATGGTTACATATCAGTCCCATACATGTTGACTATTATCAGTGGGTTTTTTTTTTTTTTGGTGTGTGATTGGCATATAGAGCACGGAGGAAGCAGAAAACTTCTGATTTGCTGTAAGAGACCTCAGAGAGGCCCTGCTATAGGAATCTGTGGGCAGATCATACAAGGACAACATAAAATAAGGATAGAACCCAAATCCTTGAAAAAGCTCCAATCCTCTACCTTCAAGGCAGAGTATCTAAAGAGCAGCAGAAATGCTTTCTAAGTAACAGCAAACTGGGAGAGCAGGGTCATAAGGAAGGGCTCTGCGATCTCTGGGGTCTGGCATTCTCAGATATATCAGTTCTTAGTGCCTCCCCCTGCTCTGTACTAAAAGAGCCCAGAACCTGCAACACACAGACAAAAATGGCATTTTCACTTATAAAGTCTCTCCCATAAAAGCTCTCAGGGTGAGGAGAAGCAAGTCTAAAAATTCATCTTTAATTAAAAGAATTGCTGACCTGAACTACAAAAGAAAAGGATAAGTAAAAAACAGTGAAGGAGGTAATTCAGAAACACTGCCGGAAGGAAGAAAACCTTTGTTTGTTTTTAAGCAAAGAAAAATTAAATGAAGGAGATGCCAGGAGAGCAAATAACATACTGTTGCAAATAGAATCACAGCAGTCCCGTTTAGAGTTTTCTAAGGCAACACTGCTAACGTAAACCAAGTCTGTCACTTACAAGCAGCCAATGTAAAGAATAAAATGCAGGCTGAATATGAGCAAATGTGTTCTTGGCATTTGGAAAAAAAAATGCAGTGGTTTGTCACCATCACGGTTAACCAATAAAAAGGAAATTACAATACTCAAGCCTCAAGTTCCTGATCACGCGTTACCATCTCCAGGTCATCACATGATAAGGACAGGTCCAGCTTACATCAATTATATAGCTGAAAGCCCTATCTGTGACACACTGCTTTAAACAGCAAGAAGGAGATCAAAAAGTTACACCATTATTTTCTCACTAACCCAGAGGTTTAGTCATTTTTGTATTCCCTATTATTTCCTAGGTAATGCTTTCTGCACTGAGGTAAAGAAAAGAATCTATTTCTTGATATTTCTTCATGAGCATTCTGTTTTCCAATTCCAATACTTATTTGTTTAAATACCAAGGGCAGGACAAGAAGGAAAAAAAAGAAAGAAAGAAAAAAAAAAAACTTAGAAACCTACAGAAGGTTGACCTGAAAGTTCCTGTAGAAATAACTCTAATTTTCATTAATTTTCATCCAAGTTTCGGAAAAATAGGCCAGCTCCACAACAGTTTAAATGATTTTTTTCCTTTTCAGCAAGCACACAAAGGATAGCTCCAAGGAGCATTTGGGAAAAATATTTCCTTCTTAAGTGAGGGGAACAAAAGGTGGAAGGGTAAAGTAAAAAAAAAAATTTCACTTTAAGTTTTTTTTATATAGCTTATAAATAAAGTCTGAAAAGGCGTAATAATAAGACATAAACTCCCTAAGCAGTCACATGAGGCATCTTTCATTCAGTCTAACAGGTTTGGGATCAAGCCTTTGCAGAGAGAAAAACTTGTACACCTTATGACAGAGAACCTTCGTTAGGTACGGTAGAGACAATTAAAACTCCTATTGCCAGCTGCTTTAACATCAGTTTAATCTTCAGGGGCATAGTATGCAAAATACCTAAAATAGATGGTCTGTAATTAGCCTCTCCACCATTTCTACCTCAGCACTGCAACAGAATCTGGGCAGGCTCTGTCTGAGCTCTCCTGAAACCCCACTGAGGGTCTGCCCTGTGTGACACAGAAGCTACTTCCAGTCACACATGCAAACAACACACATCAGTGCATTGAAATAAATGAAAACAGAATAATTGCACTGCACAGCAGGGTACTGCCTCCTCCTCCCTCTCCAATTGTGAAGGACAGAGCGTGGTACAGTTTGAAAAAATGCACCTTTTTGGCAGTGAGGGCCGCAGGACTCATTTGAACCTTTTTAAATACAAGAGGGCTCCATTTTATTGATCACAACTCCAATAATGTGTGGAGAGCCCTATACGTAGGGCAATCGAGAAGGAGCATGACATAGCCCTGGGTCCAAAATAACCAACCAAACAAACAAACAAAAAACCCCAAACAGAAGGAAACATAGACCTTGAATAGGATGCCAGCTGACTAGCCCAAACCACATGTATATTAAAGAATTGATTTCTTCTTAGTCTGTGCTTAAATGTCTTCTCTCCTGCAGATGCCCTAACAACAGCGTTATGTGAAAAGCCAAATAGCATCAAACGGCCTGCCCATCAAGTGATCAAGTAAAGATTTATAGTGAAGTGAAAACTAGGAAAAAAAAATACTTTTTTTTCCATCGAAGTGAAAGGATGGAAACACAGGTTTGCTGCCTCCACACACATTTTACTACTAGCCTTTCTCCTACGCACAAGGGAAAGATAAATCAATTTTCTTCATATACAAGAAAATAGCATTTTGCATAGCATTACATGGGCTGGGGCAATGAACTCAACGCCCTGCCCGGCCTGTCACGCAGACTAGTATCATTTCTCCTTTTTAACTTCTTCCCTGTGTCTTCCGTTCAGTCCTTTTTGTTTTCTCTAATGAGTGGTGTCTGCACTAGCCTTCCACTGGAAATCTCTTCCTTTCAGTCCCAAGGTGGGTAGCTACAGCAGAGACCACAAGAAGGATGTAGGCATTTTCATCATCATATTGTCTATCATCTAGCCCTGACCCTAGCACATACGTTGAAGAATGGTGGAAAATACCTTGGCTTTTTATACCGTTTTCAGAGCTCCCTGCTGTTTCCAGTTACAGGAGAGCTGATGGCAACTGAGCAGTGGAAATTATCCCCAACACACACACGCACAAAACCTAGTGTTAAAAAAATCTAATTTCAGCCCTTCTCCAGCACCACTAATGAGATCCAAAGCAAAACTTACTGAACAATTCACATCGCAGAAGCAAGGAGATTTTGTTATGTTTTATTCATACTATTTTGCTGTTCCATTATCTGTTTAGAGGGAGCACAGACCAGGTCTTACTTAGGAACTGCAGTCGTGTCACTGTGAAAAGAAGGTCAAGGGTATGCTGGGGTGCATGAGGAACAGTGTTGCCAGCAGGTGGAGGGAGGTGATCCTCCCCCCCTACTCAGCCCTCCCGAGGCCACACCTGGAGTCCTGTGTCCAGTCCTGGGCTCCCCAGTACAAGAGAGACATGGCACTACCGGAGAGAGTCCAGCGGAGGGCTACCAAGATGATGAGGGGACAAGGGGACTTTCATAGCAGGAAAGGCTGAGAGAGCTGGGCCTGTTGAGCCTGGAAGATTGAAGGGGGATCTCATCAATGTGTACAAGTATCTGAAGGGACGATATCAAGAGGATGAGGCCATACTCTTCTCAGGGGTGCCTAGTGACAGCACAAGAGGCAACGGGCACAAACTGAAACACAGGAAGGTCTGTCTGAACCTGAGGCAAAACTTCTTTCCTGT